ATGGAATTGGTCAGGAGTTCAAAGGCCTTTTTGTGTTGGTCACTGGCAGTAGGCAGAATTAGCCTGTGGAACTCATTACCACAAGGTACCAACTGAGGCTAAGGAGGATTAAAAAAAGGATTAGCTATATATGGTTAGTGAGAACATCCACAGTAACATTACAGAGGATTACAAATACAGTACATAAAATTAATGCATAAAATTAGCTGATGAGAGGTAGAAGGGAGTGAGTTTAGGAATAAGTTTACCCTCTGGGGATGCTGTTGCATAATGGCACACATGGGGGGTTTCCTACATTTTCCTCTGAAGCATCTGCTACTGGCCACTGTCAGGATAGGTCCACACCGCAAAAAAGGTGTTCTTAATTGGGGTAGGTAGCTAGCATTAATGTTGGCTAATTCAGTGGAGATATGGCAACTCAGTTTTTAGGCTTGAACTCAAGCTGCTAACCTGAGTGGAAAGTTCAGTTGCTGTGTTTTTGCTGCTGTTTTAAATCCATGTTAGCTAACTCTTTTTTTTTTTTTTTTTTTTCTTTTTCTCCCAGCCCCAGGATTAGATGGACACTAGTGGTCTGGTCTGAGCTGGCAATTCCTATGTTCTGTGAAACTTCAGCCTTGGGTTTCTTTACAGGAGGCTCTTGAAGAGACGGGCTCTATCTGTGCCCTGGTGTTGTCTGGGCTCGCAGACACACTTGCTATCTGCTGGGGTGGGAGTGGGGCCCTTCTTTGCATGTAGCAGTTTCTGTGTGTCATTTTCTTTTTCCTAGCTCCTCAAGCTTATTTTCCATATTTAAAGAGAGTATGAAATTGGCTGAACTGCTCCCTGTAGGGGTGGAATTTAATTTTGCGCAGTTACCTCATGAAGAGAAGCAGGAGTTCAATGGGATGTTGGTATCAGCTGTGAACCAGTGCTAATGGCCTAAACCTCTGGGAGCCTGAAAAATTCTTCCCTAGAGAGTCAGTATGCAAATTCCCTTCCAGGCAGCTCCTGCGCAGCCCTTTGGTGATTAGTCATGCTGGAACTGGGGAGAGCAGACAGTAATGCATATGTTGGGGGGGGAGGGGAGGGGCGGATGGTTTTAGCCTTGAAACTGCTGCTGAGGCCAGGAAGGGTCTGGTCTGTGTGCAGTCTACAGAGGCTGCATTGATGGGAGAGAGGCAGAGCTATGGGCTTGTCTTGTCTCTCAAGATCCGAGAACCTGCACTTCCTGGTTGGTTTTTTTGGGGGAGTAAAGTTTGGGGAGGGGGTGTGGCCCCCTCTTCCTGCCATGGGGCAGGAGGGGAATTCCAGTCTCCATGTTCAGTCAGCACTGGGATTCTCTAGGAGGAGGTTGTTGGAGGTGTGCACCCTCCTTGAAGGAGAGCATGGTCAAAGGAAACAAACCAGCAGCTAGAAAACCTGCTCTGCTGTTGAGTCTCTGGTTGGTAAATGTAGAGACGTGAATGTGTGCCTTCCTCTCCATCCAGGCCTCAGACAGGTGGGAGGTTACGTCGACACATGGAGAGGCAACCTGCGGCAGCAAGACTCAGAGCCTGGGTCAATAGACTCAGAATTGTGCTACAGTGCTAAAAATTGCTGTATTGACATTAGGGCTCTGAAGCCTTAGAGGGTGGTGGGCATCAGTGCCCGAGCTCCAGCCTGAGTCACAATATTTATACAGCTTTTTTTAATGCTGTAGCATGAGCCCTGTGAGCCCAAGTCCATTGACTGGGCTCTGAGACTTGCTGCTCTGGGCTGTGGAGATGTATCCGAAAAAGCTAGGTGTAATTTGAACACAGGTCTTTGTAGAATCCTAGGCAATAAAAATGGAAAAGGCCTTTTGGATCCTCCAGTCTGTCTCTCTGGGGCCAGTGCAGGATTCTGTAGAGATTTGTCCAGTGCTGTTTTAAATGCTCTGTGTGGTGGGGCTTCTGCTCCTTCCCTGGGGAGAATATCCTATACCCTGAGATACCTCATTGTCAGGAAGTTTTCCTTCATATTTGGCCTACTTGTCCCCTCTTAATTTCAGCCCATTGCACCTACTTATATCCCTATGTATCACTCTAAATAGGGGTGAATGAAATCTCCATTGTGAATGTTCTTTTCAACAGATGTCTTGTTTTGAGTCCCCTAAACTTCTGTAAAGTTGTATTGTACCTACAGCTTTTGTTTAGTTACAAAGTATCTCTAAGACCAGTCAGTGGCTGTGGTGGGATTAGAGTTCAGGTCCTCTTAGCTTCCAGCCCTGTGCCTAGTCTGCCATCCCATGTGGCTTTTGCTATAATGGAAGGGAGAACTGTTCTTCTTTTCAGTTTCCTCCATGGAACCGCATTGTCAGCTGGAGGGGCTAGCATTTCAGTAGATAGTGTTTAAGGGTGAAACCATGTTGTAGTGATTTAGCTCATTTAAGAGAGTAAAAGTGGGATGGAAAGTGGGAGTCCTGAGAGGTGGTCAAAAAAGCACACTCAGCACTTAAATACCAGGGTGCTAGCTGCCTTACCTTAGCTAGAGAAGGGTGACAAACAGGCTGGGATGCAGAGGGGCTATGCACTGAGGAATTGGGATGAGCTGCAGAGGTGCCCTGCGTTAGGAGATGAACCCTGTCCCAGGATGCACCAAACAGAGAAAAGACCTAGCAAAAGGACCTGAAGTTGCACTTAGGAAGGGGGAACCATGTGTCTGTGAGGCAGAGCAGGCCCTAGACCTCTTGCACCTTTGTGCTGTTATCTTGGGAACTCTCTGGACAGGCGCTCGGTTCCTTGCCATTTTCCACCTATAGTAGAGAGCCATGCACGCTTCTGGGCTTAAGTACCTACTATTCCTGCTGAGAAGGGAGAATATTGGGTCCTACGGAGAGGCCTGTTAGGAGGTTTCAGAGTAGCAGCCGTGTTAGTCTGTATCCGCAAAAAGAACAGGAGTACTTGTGGCACCTTAGAGACTAACAAATTTATTAGAGCATAAGCTTTCGTGGGCTACAGCCCACTTCTTCGGATGCATATAGAGTGAAACATATATTGAGGAGATATATATACACACACATACAGAGAGCATGAACAGGTGGGAGTTGTCTTACCAACTCTGAGAGGCCAATTAAGTAAGAGGGAGGAAAAAAAAAAACGTTTGAAG